GTTCCTTTTTAATGTCATCCCACATGATGCTAATGTTCTATTCACTTTCTTACCATCTGCTCTCCAGTTTTTCTTCTAGAGTGTTCCCACTGAGGTTCTTGTCTTCCAGGTCTTTGACTGTCTATTCCATCTTTTCTATTTTGCTTTTTTTGTCCCTCTTTCATGTTTGGATACTTCTGCCATTTCCTTATTAATATTCTTGATTGCATTTTCTTGGTTTTCTATCATTTTCAGTACTGTGTTGACTGTACCCTCTCTGTATTGTGATGATTTTTTAAGTTTAACCTTTTTACCTATAGCTTTAATGATTTCTTCCACCTTTTGAAATTTCTTCTGTAGTTGTTCAAGTTCCTGAGCATCATTATATTTCTTCTGACTTCCTATGTCTAGAATATTCAATTTATTTATGGCTTCCAGTCTTTTGTCCATAATTTGCACCTTCTTCTGTTCATATAACTTCACATCAATATATTTCTTATGGTTTCCTGTCTCTGGGGTATCAAATGTATTTCTGATTCCCTTGTTTGTTTCATAATTTTTACCTTTTCTAAAGCTGTTTGTATGACTCTATGTCAGTATAAATCTTCTGCCTTCTTGATTTTGGGGTATTCATTGGGTCTATAATTTTCTCTGTTGTGGTTTTTTAAAAGGCTTGATTTGTTTTTTCACAATATTTGAAGTTTACTGCTGTTTTTTTGACATTGTGTGAAGTTTTTCTTGGTTTTAGGCCATTTATATTATTTCTGCATAGGTTGTTGATAGTTCTTTATCTTTATCACTTATTGATTAGTTGCAGACATCATAATACTGCCTTTATGTAGGAGGATAATTCACTATGCCAAGAGTCCTTTCTTGTTCTATACAGTAGGAAAGCTCACTTTTCTTAAATCCCTTCAACTTGTCTCTGGTATGTAGTGCAGCCCTGTGGGAACTCACTTGCATGCTTCCTGCCTCTTCTAAAGTTTATAATTTTTGTTGGTGTTCTGCAGTGTGTATTGTGACCATTTTCTCCCTGTCTGTTTTATTCTGTCTATACAGGCTAGGGAGAGGAGAACAGAACCATGTACTTTTGTGCAGGGGCCTTCTCTGCCTGCACCCACTTCTTCTAATGTTTGTAATCATTGCTGGTAGTACCAACATGGTAGTACCAACATGCAGTGCAGCCTGAGACCAGCTTTGCCCTGGCTGCTACACCAACACTCTCTATATCCATGGTGGGACAAGGGATTCAGGACCACGTAACTCTATGTAGCTGCCTTCTCAGGTCTCATGTAGCCTGGTGAGAATATCTTCTGCCTCTTCTAAAGTTTGTAATTGTCTTTGGTGGTGCTGGTTAACAATGCAGTTAGAGACAGCTTCCCCATGTCTGCTGCACTCTCTCTAACCTAAGACTACCAACTTTTGTAATGTGAAACTGAGTGAACATGCAATCAAGATGAATGAATAATTGGTGAGACTGGATTGTAAAAAGTAAAAATGAAGTATAAGGCCTGGTAGTTGAAGAATACAGACTTGGTTATAGATGAACCAGAGATCAAATAATAGAATTTTGTACAGTCAATGATTTGTTTACTGTAAATACTTCTTAAAAAAGACATAAAAGTGTGGTTATGTACAGGGACTTAATCTAAGGACAATATAGGGTTCAGATTAGCTACATCTATGGAAAGATAGGTGGAGAATTTTATATAAGCAGTCAAAACAAGGCCAGGAGCTTACTGAGGAACATACCACCATTAACTCATATGCAAATTCAAATCAGAGTTGAAGAAAATTTTTAAAAGTTCATGAGAACCAAAATACACCTTTCAATCTATCTGAATTATATTAAAAACTATCTTAATAATGTATTCAACATTGAACCCTAGTGATAGAAGACCAAATGAATTGTAGGATCACATCCAGGACATCTTCCATGAAGAAAACAAAAGGTTATTATAAAGACAGAAATGTAAGAAAACAATGACATGAATAACAGAAAGGACTCTGAAACTTGTAGTGGTAATAGAGAGGTGCCAAACAGCTATGCAAGGCCACATTTAATCCCAAGCTAATGTCCAATGACTGGTAAAGTAGAAGAGCATTCTATAATTATCGAGATAAATACAATGCAGAGCAAGGACAATATGCTGTGAGAACAATAACGCCAGGGCGTGAAGTAAGCTGATTCTGAGATATTTAGAACTGGATTTTGTCTCAGCAAAAAAGTTAGTTTGGCAGCTGATGAGACTCACAGCATGAAAGAGATAGGATAGAAAGATATGAGACAAAAGAAGTATCATACCTAAAAGACCTAATCATGGAAAGATGACTGAATAATGAAAATTAATCTTAACATTTGATCACGTGGGAAAAAGTGGATGTGACTCATGAAAGCAAAGGATGAACTTTGTCTCATATGTATCTTATATATCTAGTGACTTTCCCATGAGACTCTACACAAACCAAAGACTAATCAAAGGAATAACTGACTAGAATAACACACTCAAGTATGTCATATGCAAACATTAATAAGAAATATTACAATTCCGTAGAATATCAAAATAGGCCCTTGATATATATGTAGGTTAGGATTACATTAGATAAAGTATCTTCTAGAATTAGGGATTAGATGAAAAGCATTTTTTATATTTTGAATGTCCCAAAATCTCTGTAAATGTTCATTAAAACTAATAAAATTTAATAATAATTTTAAAAAACAAACAAAACACCGTATAATGAAATATGAAGATTGTACCTGGGATTTGAAATTAGTGCATGGAGATACTGGAGGCAAGCCTTGCATAAGAACTGATTCCAAACTTTCTGAAAGTAGGCCTACATACACCACACAAAAATAACACATGTACAATTACAGTTGGATTTTTTGTTCTCCGCCCCCCCCCATTTCCTTCTAAGAAATCTCATTAAATTTGAGGGAATACAAAACTTGGACGATATTGATCACATTTATAGGGTATTCCATTATAAGGCTCACTCACCAAGCCAAGTGTCTTATCAACTCCTGTTCACATTCCATCATAAGAGTAAGTCACTTTTTAGTGCATCATGCACAAAGTAATTTTATGAAAGGTCTAGTTAGTCAGAGAACTACTCTTCCCATAATTTGCATAAACTAGAAAAATCATCCATATTCTCAGTCATATTTATATCCATTCACTTTCCACTCATGTCTTTTTCATGACCTCTCACATCCACTTTCCTTTAGGAAAGGATCAGAATTCTTTAAAACAATATGACTTGATAAACACTAATTTCTCAATACAGTCTGGGTCTCACATTCATACTGCTAAGGTACTGTGTGGAGATACTGACTACTTGTGAAATTCAGGGATCAAAGCACAAAATAGTGTTTGTTACTGGAATAATGAGTGTAAGAATTGTTTGCAGTTTCTGCTTCTGGCATGAAGTTTATTCCTAGAGCATCCATTGGACACTTTCTTTTATTGCATTCATCTATTCATTATACTATAACTTGAAGGAACTGAACCATTGGAATAAATCCAATGTATTAAAATATCTATTCCAATGTATGATAAAAATTCACAAGTATTACATGATTTACCATCTGAGTCAGGGAATCAAAACTAGAAACACTTTGGTCTTTCTTGATAGCCTTGATAGTGAGTCATAGAAAGAATGCTCAGGAATGCTACTGTAGACTTTCTATAGTAAAGTCTGAAGCAGAAAAGAATATACATTCTATTGAATCCAGTGAAGATATGCAATTATATAAACTTTCTAGCAATAAATAGAATATGTACTTGGACAGAAATTCTTGTTTCATATTTGCATCATAGTGGGACTTAGAAAACATCATACCACCCTAAGTCTATATCCATGAAAGCAGCAGTGTCCATGAGGTTTGCACTTATATGAAAGGAATAACAAAATTGTGAGTCTGAGCTGCTAATGCCTATGTAAGCCATGGAATAAAGTTTGAAAATAATAACCAGATAGAAGCTGCTAACTCTATATTCGCAAAATACACATACAAACAACAGAGGGGAATACAAATTAGGGAACAAATAGGAACTAAAAGATTAAAGACTAAGATTAAAGCAGTCAATAAGAAATACTGAAAATCCATGGATTCAAAAAAGAAGCATTCAACTAGTATGTGTGGGGATAATGATAGTAAAGGACCAGTATGCATCAGATATAATACTTCAAGCTAGCTTTTGGGTGACAGAATGTGGTAAATACACAAGCATTAGATCATCTACTTTGATTTCCCTTGTGATTAAGCTAACAAATGTGTGAATTTGTTATCTCTGTGCTTGGGATTAATACAGGTAAATCATCACAGAGCCAAAGGAAGACTGCAAGTAACAGAGATATGAGTTAATTCCCACCTCAGCTTTCCACTCAACTAGCTGAGACCACCTTCCCTCTCATTCAAATAACCAATGTCCAATGACGTGGAGGAGCATGAAATAATTATTGTTGAGATTAATTCTAAAGAAAGTAAAGGAAAGATACTGAGTGAGCAATGATGATGATATTTGTTTTATCCTAGGACTAGATACTTAGTGGTGAATATTCCTCAGGTAGAAAGCAAGGCTAGCAGTTGATATGACTTGGTCAAGGGAAGAGATAGGAGGAATGGATTTGGGACAAAGGATAATAGCATGCATCCAATCTTAAGAGGTGCACTGAATTATGAACATTCATCTTGAAATTTAATCAAGTGGAAAAAAAGCAGAAATGAAACAGGGAGGCAGGGCATGAAATTCTTCTTATGTATCTCTACCTGTGCAGATATTTCACAGAACTCTTCCAATGCAGACTAGGCAAAAGCAATAACCCTTTTGAATGCATGAATTATATTATGTACCTATGTCAATAAGAAAGAGAGCAGAATCCTGTAGAATCTTAATAAAGTATTGATGAATGGCTATGGATGACACTATATATAATATCTTATAGAGTTGAGAAATAAATGAAAAACATTGTTATCATTTCTTCAAGCACAATGTAAGGAAATAACAAAATCGTACCTCATATGTGAAACTAGTGGATGGAGATACTGGAGGCATCACGTGAACCTCAGTTTGGCTGGCGGTTGGATATGTGTTTCTGCTTCCAAGCACATGTGTGTGTTTGTACTGCTCTTGGGGGTGTTTCATCCATTTGGACACAGAAGTTTGGGTGGCTGCGTGCTGGACTTGAGGAGATGAAGTGAGGCAGACTACATTTTCCTCCTTTTCTTCTTTAACTATGATGTTTGATTTTTCTCTTTTCTGTGGAATAAGAGCATAAAATCAGACACTCTAACCACTTCCTTGGCTATTACCTCTGAATGCTTGACAATCTCATAATAGAAAAATGTGTCTTCATGGTCTTTGCAATTCCAGTAGACCTGAATGAAAAACTGGTTGCAAATTTCCTGCAAGAAGGCACATAAAAATAGCACAAGTTTTTTGTTGGTTGTTTACTTTTTTATTCATTTCTTTTGTTCCTTCTAAGAAACCTCAGTAAATTCTAAGCGTTGTAAAATCCAAGATAATATCAGCCTCAGTTAAGGATTACTGCATTATAAAACTCACTCACCAAGCAAGTGCTTAATCAACTTCTGTCCATTCCATCCATTAGAGCATATCACTTTTTAGTGTATGTTATATTCAACATCATGCTCCAAGTTATTTTAATCAGACAGGACACTAGTGTTCCTGTAATCTGTGTAAAATGTAAGAATCATTCCATATTCTCTGACATATTTATATCCACTTCCTTCACATTCATGTCTTTATTATTAACTCTCTCATACACTTTTCAAAAAGGGAGCAGAGTTCTTGAAAATAATGTAACTTGATGATCATTAATTTTCTCAATAGAATTTGATGTCTAATACTGTTAAGGCAATGTATTGACAATTACTACTTGGGACAGCCAGCCAGGGATGAAGGCATAAAATCCTGGTTGTTGATGGAGTGCTAAGTGTGAGAGATGCTCGCAGTTTCTGCCTCTGGCATGAGAATGGATGACTGACTAAAGCATGTACTGTCCACCTCTTTTTATTATATTCATCCATTCACAATTACAGGACTTTTAGGGACTTGAATGAGGAAACAAATACAACACAAGTGAGTATCTATTCCAATATTGTGATAAAAAATTCATTTGTATCATATGATCTTCCATCTGAATCAGGAAATAAACAATGGCATACTCATGATTAAAGTGTTAGAAAACATTGTGTATTTAAACACTGTGTATTTTTGAGGGAAAATACAATATTTTTGTCCAACGTAGACCTTATGGTCGGCAGCACTAATGGCTTAGTGATAAGGAGTTGTGCTGCCTACCCAATGCCTTTATGCAGTTCAATTATGACTCAAAAGTAAAATAACACACAACTAGAGATTTGTACACCAATGTTTATATCAGTATTATTCACTGTCACAAGAACAGCCCAGATATCCAATTATAATCGAATGAATTGAGAAAATGTGGTACATTCACACAATGGAATTCCACGCAGTATCCAGAAATGATTTTTAAAAAATTATTAGATATTACTTGAGGGAGACTGGAGAGCATTATTCTGAGTGAACTAACTCAGTCACATAAGGACAAATACTGCATAAGATCATTATTCTAAAAATAGGATAATAAGTAAAATGTTTATGGGAATCCCCAAGGGGAAGGGTTGGCAGCAGAGGGGTAAGGATGTGCAAGAGGCAGTTATAGGATTGCCCAATTTGGTGGGTAGAGGGAGAGGTTAAAGCTAATTTGAAAGATCTGGTGAGGAACTGAAAATATAGGATAATGGTGGACATTGTTTAGTGGTGATTAATTTTATAAAACACAATGTATGGGAATGATTGTATGGAACACACTGTGAATTTATAAAATATAATATACATATACTTTGTATGTAAACTAATAGAAATTAATTGTTTTAGTAATAGTACAATAACAACAACCACAACATGGTTGGCTCCAGTTTTAAAGCAAGAGCAGAAGCACCAAAGGGACTGATATTCCTTGAAAGAGTTTCTGATAAGTAAGCAAGTCTATCTTGTTTGTCTAGTGAGTCACAGAGAGAGCTCAGGGCTATTGTTGATTACATATGGTAGAAGAAATGGCTCAACATTATTTTTAATTCCATGAAGACTTGCAATTATGACTCTTCTAGACATTACTCAATTTTATGTTTTGGATGTGTATTTCCTTGGATGTAGAAACACTTCTTTCGTATATGTATGGTTGTGAGACTTTCAAAAGAATCACAGTAAGTATCCATGAGTGTTTGAGAGTGGCCTGGAAATATTTAGATAGAGACAGAGATAAATATATATATAAAAGCACTGTCATGAACTTGATCACTAGGCAATGGTCTGCCAAGAAATCTAAGTTGAAAGCAACAGGGCAAAGTATCACTGTTACAAAGCAGGTCTGACAAGGGGGGGGTTGGGAGAAGAGTAGGGGAAGAGTGGCTAGATAATGACCATTGCATTTGAACGGATGAAAGAACTGTCTAAAATGAATATATGATGAGGCATTATATGTATAACAACAGCCCAGAATAAGAGATATAGTTTTGCAAATAGGACTGGGTGGCAGGGAGTGGGGGAAAGTAATTGTGCAACGATGAATGGGGAAAAAAAATTCCCATCAAAGGTCTAATGTCCAATAAAACTAAAGGTATGCAATCATCATTATTGAGATAAATTCAGTAAAGGGCAAAGAAAGAAATCATGCAGACAATGAAGGCAAGACTAGGTGTATTCTGTGTGTGGGATATTTAGCTGGAGGACTTGGGTCAGAGCTAGAAAGGTAGGTTGACAACTGATGAGACTTGGGCCAGGAAGCGACAGGAGAAGGGGTTTTGAGACTATTGGAAGCTTATGTGAAAGTACCTAATCTTGAAAGAAGATTATATTGTGAAAATTCATCTTGAAATTTGATCAAGAGGGGGAAAGTGATAGGGAAACAGAGAGTTAAGGAGTGAATTTTTTGAATATGCATCTCTACCTGTCCAGCAACTTGCCACCAAGACTCTCTACCACTCTAAAGACTCCAAAGACTAGTCAAAGGTAATAAATAACTTGTTTGAAAACTTTAATTACATCATGAACTCATGATAATAAGAAAAAAACCGAAATCCTGTAGAATTTCAGAGAAGACCCTTTTTCAGTGCTTGGAAACTATACTAAATATAATATTTTATTGAGTTGATTATTAGATGCAAAGCATTTGTCACATTTCGATCATTTCTTCATGGAACCTTGATGATGAAACTAGTGGATAGAGATCCTGGAGGCACCATGGAGATCTGAGTTTAGCTCTCAGTTGAATATGTACTTACACTCCCAAAAACATGTGAATGATGACATTGGTCTTAGGAAAGGTTCAGCCATTTAAGGGAAAAAAGATTATGTTACTTTGTGCTAGACTTTACTAAGAGGTGAAGTGGGGCAGACTACATTTTCTTCTTTAAGCATGGCTATTTATCTTTTCTGTGGAATAAGTGCACAAATTCAAACATTCCAACCACCTCCCTAGCTTTCATCTCTGAATGCATGACAATTTCGTTATGGAAAAATGTGTTTCCATGGTCTTTGCAATTCTAGTAGCCCTGAAGGAGAAGCTGCTTATGAGTCTACTACAACTAAGCACGCTACATTAAGTACAAGTAAGAAGCAATTTGCTGGTTGTAGTTTTTGGTTTTATTCTAATTTCTGATATTTCACTCTAAGTAACAACAATATATTAAAAAGAGTGTAAAACTCAGGGTGATATCAATGACACTTCTGAAATCTTTTAGTGTTAGATTCATTCACCAAGCAAGTTCTTAAAATGTTCTTATTAAAAAAATTTTAAAAAATGTTCTTATCAACTACTCTTCAAGATCCATTCATAAGAACATGTCACTTTTTTGAGCATGCCCTGTTTGACATGATGCTCAAAGTCTTTCTATCAAAGGTCCAGATAGGCAAGCAGGAAATTATTATCCTGGTAACCTACGCGTCTGGAGAGGTGTTAAGCCAGGCTGTTCCTTGGAGGCAAGGATTCTGAAGCTTCGTCTCTGACATACTTTGGGCATTTTTCAAGGAGGGACCAGTCTTTGGAGAGGGTAATCATGCTTGGGAGGGTGGAGGGACAGTGCAGGAGAGGAAGACACTTGATGAGATGGATTGATTCAGTGAGTCAGGGAATGGGGTAGGTGTGTCAGAGACAATAAAATTGGCACAGGATAAAGCAGGTTTTAGAGCTGTTGTACGTAGGGTCGCTATGAGTCGCAGGCAACTCAATGGCACATAACAACAACAACAACAACAACAATAATCGACATGTTGTTGTTGTGTACCATCAAGTAGGAAACAAGCCATAGTTGACCCCCTAGTGGGTTTTCAGAGTCAGCAAAACACACAGAAGGAGACTGACTATATCTCACAGAACAGCTAGTGCATTCCAAGCATGTGCCTTTATGCTGGCTGTGCAATTCCTTTCCAATAAGCCACCAGGGCTCCCTATATAATCAGTCAGAATTATTGTAATCTCAATCATATTTACATCAGCTCACTTTCCATCCAGGTCTTTATCATAACCTATCTAGTAAAATTCTTTAACTAAGAAAACAGAACTCTTTAAAACAATAGAACTTCCTAATAATTCATTTCCTTCTTAGAAATTGATGTCTCATGTGCATCCTTCTAAGTAATGTGTGCTGATATTTACTACTTTGACAACCAGGGGTTAAATATAAACTCTTGTTTGTTAATGTATTTGTGGGCATGAAAGGTATTTGCTGTTCCTATTTTCTGTTATGAGAGTTTAAGAACAGAGCATCCAGTACCACCTTTTTATTATTTCATTCATTTATCATTAATACTTGGGCTCACAGGGACCGTATTGGGGGAAGTAAATTCAATATAACTTAACTGGATGTCTGCTCCAATGTTGTGATAAAAGTTCACAAGTATCTGAGTCAAGGAAGAAACAATAGAGTTCTTGCTCAAATTCAAGTGCTAGAAAAAAAATGTGTTATACTCTGTGTTTCTTTGAGGCATGGTACAATATTTCTTCCAACATGGACCTCAGTTTCTGCAGTTGAGCTGGGTTTACCTTTGGCAGTCTCATAGGTTTAAAAAAGAATAAATGAGATTTTTAACAGCACTTACTGGTGGCATAACAGTTTCAAAATCCCTTAAATCTAGCACTTGCATCACAAGGTTATTATCACAATCACAAGTGCTTATGATATAACCTTGGATAACATCCTCCAGAAGTGACTGAGCAGTTTTGAATGTGATTCTTTGGAGTTTTCCCCTCTCATAGTCACTTATCTTCTTGATTCATGCTATTCCTGGTGTGTGGTGAAGGTGATTCCATGTTGAAAGTTTAAAAGATAAGGATAGTTTTCTTTTTAATTTTAGAGAA